AGGCTGGTGGGCCGCCTGATTTATCTGTGCCACACTCGACCCGATATTTTTTTTTGCAGTAAGTGTGGTGAGCCAGCCGCTACAAGCATGATCTAAGGAAGGGTCATATTCATCCAGTGTATCAGATTTTGAGATACTGAGAGTGCACCCGGGAAAGACTTGATATTTAGGAAGAATGGACCTATACATTGAGGGCTTTTATGATTCTGACTGGGTAAGTTGTGTTGATGAAAAACGATTCACATCAGGATATTGCATATTTGTAGGTGGCAACTTGGTCTCATCAAAGAGCAAGAAATAGTCATTTGTAGAAAGATCGACAACAGAGGCATAATACAGGGTCATGGATTAGGAGTTGTTGAGATGATGTAGTTGAAAGCCTTGTTGGTTGAACTCAAAGTGAATTAGAGAACTGAAATGAAGTTGTGGTGTGGCAACAAGTCGAGAATCAGCATTGCTAACAACCCGGTGCAACACGATAGAACTAAACATGTGAAGATTGATTGATTCTTCATCAAGGGGAAGCTGAATAATTTCATGTAGCTACTGGAGAGCAGGGGGCTGATTGCCTCACTAAAGGACTTAGTTCAGTGGAGTTAGCTCAATCATGTGACAAGATGGGCTTAGTGAATATTTTTTTGCTCATTTGGATGAGTAGTGTTGAGAGTTATGTGTAATAATAGGGTTTTATTGGGTATATTTGTTAAACATTGTAACCTGTATTTAAACAATGTTGAAATAGTAATTTTTAACTTATTTCTTTTTTTAAATTAGTTAATTAGTCTTTTTTTCTCCTTAAAAGTATTATTTAATTACTCAATCTCAAATTCAAGATATATAGAAATGACTGGTTTTTTGTGAACTCAAATATATAATCTTTCACAACGTCTTGCAAACTTGCATTATGTTCTTGTCGCCACAAAATGAAGCCTTATGTTGGGCAGCACAATTTCTTTTGAAAAAATAGTTTGTCCAAGGCCATAAGCAATAAGCATCAGTTATTGGTTAGTGATGGATTCTGGTTCAAATCAAATTCGGCGGATGAGTATTCATTGCCTCATTTAAAAAGAGTGATCATTGTTTTCATCCTAAAGAGGTCTAATTTTTTCAAGAGGATGGGCAAATGCTTGTTTTTTCTTATCCCTTAGACCGCCCACAATAACCTGCTATTTGTTTCTTTACATCATTCATCTTGTAGCCATTTCCTCTCCGATAACAGTCCTTTGACAGTAAATTAAACAGTTTTTGCTTAGCTATGGGTGAGAAATCAAGCTATCAAAGACAGATTTTGTGATGGAGTTATTGATGATGTAGGCAGCAAACCACGAGGTACATCAGGTTTAGGTGTTGAAGAAGTAGCAAATACTGTTTGAGTATTAGTAGTAGGTGGAACATCAGTAGATACTGGAATATAAGTGGCGTGGGAGCTGCATGTTCCAGGCACGGGCGCAGTTCCGCAATATGCCAAACTCCCGCGATTGGAGCAGCGAACAGGAATATTCCTGTTCAGTTCACAATTGCCACAAGAACTTTGACGTTTTTTTATTTATTTCTTATTTACTTATTTCATTTTCCTTTATCTTCTATTTCTCTAATTTCTAATTAAGTATTTTATATTAGGAGTTTTTTGTATATAGGTGTATTGGGTCTTTGGATTTTCAATTTTTTTTGTGATTTGCTTTGAGAGAGCCGACGATTTCTCCTTTTCTGTCTACGGGTTGTACTTAGGATTCCTAGTGGTGCTTCGACTGTATCTTAAAATCCAGGTGGTGTTTATCCTTCTTATCCTTTTTCCCCAACCATTCCCACAACGCTCTCATATCCCCTTTATCGTCTTCTTTGTTCTCTCCACTCAAAGCTGCTCTCCCACAGCTATTCTTGCTGCCACAGGTTCTCCATTGCTGCCCCCTCTTTCTAGTTTGTTGGTCGGTCCCTTGCAACCTCCCCCAAAGGTCCAAACCCCTTGCCGACACCACCTACACTCTACATCCAACCCTAGTTCTAGTTTTATGTTGTTTTATTGCAATTTTTTATTTTCTTTTTGTTGTTATAATTTTAGATTTATTAAGTCAGTAATAACATTTGTTTTCCCTTGTGTGTTGATAATTTCCGGTATCAATAAATTGTGAATATGGAAACATTGAATGGTGGAATAGTAGAAGTTTCTGGGGAAAAATAGGTTGTTGAAGTAGTAGCAGGAGTAGCAAGTCGGAAAAATAATAACTTCGCCTTTCGAGCCTTCAACATCCTCGAAACAATAATTGACTTGATTTTCTTCAAATTTTCCCCCATTGCAATTGTTTTTATCTTTTTTCCTCCCAAAAAAATATGATCTCAAAATCATTAGGTGTTTCAAAGCAACAAAACCCCCTAATAGAAAATGTCCATTGAATAATATAAACTTTAAAATGAAATAGTATATGCATACTTATCAAATGGTTCGTGGCATACTATGAAAGGTCCTTCATAATTTTTGGCAAGATATAAAATTTCATATTTAAGCTAACACCTCTTCTTCTCATCTTCTCATTAATTCAGAATATTCATCCACCCCTATAAACGAAAGATGAGTGTTTTCCCTCTCAAAATGAGTAGTTTTAGTTTTAACTGGCCATCCGTTAACCTACTTCAAAATAAAAATTTTTTGTTTTTCAATTCTAATTTTATTAAGATACTGATCTTATCCGTGTAATTTAACGATAGATTGCAAATTCATCCCTAAAAGCTATAAATACTAAATCACGTCTGAAGAAAGTTATACTTTAAGAGATTTTCTTCTTTCTCATGTTTAAAACCATAAAAATACTTTGCACAATCAAGGTTGGCATTGTTTGAGTATGGATAAGTTGTAGAAATTCATATGAAGTTGCAAGCCAGGTTCGAAATGAGTTGGTTTAACTTGCCATCCTTTTACCAACTTCAAAAGAAAAATATTTGTTTTTCAATTCTAATTTTATTTACGATACTGATCTTATCTATGTAATTTAAAGATAGATTGTAAATTCATCCCTAAAAGCTATAAATACTAAATCACGTCTGAAGAAAGTTATACTTTAAGAGATTTTCTTCTTTCTCATGTTTAAAACCATAAAAATACTATGCACAATCAGGGTTGGCATTGTTTGAGTATGGATAAGTTGTAGAAATTCATATGAAGTTGCAAGCCAGGATCAAATTAATCTTTATTTAAATATAACTCGTCGTCATATAAACTGTTAGGGTACTCACGTTCTTTCAGAACTTGAGCAATGAAACTTTCACCTTCAAATGTACTCTATGTGCAATCTTCATGCCGGAATGAGCCTTTGTCAAAATATGAGTATAATCAAATTTCTTGAACGCTTGAATGTTTTTTCTTAGAACAGTAGCCATACAGCGGGAACTTGGAGAGCAAAGCAAGGGAAGAGAAATGCTGTTGAAGAGAAAGAATGTGAATGGAATAAATAAATGGACAGAGAATTTAAAAAAAAATCTTAGAGGACTGCTTAAAGAGAAGATGTAACATTTTGAGAAATGTCATGTTAGTTCAAATTTTACCTTTCACTGGTTTGTTATGTGGCTAAGAAGATGCACCAAAGAGAAAAAAAAATTGAAAATCAGCTGTTGAAGAATAAACTTGCCATTATAAAGAAATTGACTTCCCCGCTCCTCAACTTTGAATTCTCAACAAACATACTATCTGCCACATCATTAGATATGTAAATGGGACTACCAAAAAAAAAAAAAAAACATTTTTCTAATACAGCAATTTTTTTCTGCTTATCCTTTGCATAATATTTCATCAAGGTGTGTTATTTTGTAGAGTCGGCTCTATGCTAGTCAACACCATTTAAAACTAAAAAGCATAAAATATTTTAAAGTTAAAACTTCAGCCACTTAATCATCGATCTCTCATGTAAAAAGGAAATCTTACTTGAATCTCTTGGGGGTAATAAAGGTTGTGTTATGAGCCTCATGACTCTGTTACGGGAGAATTAACATTTGAAATTTCTATTTTCTTTTTCTATTACTAGCAATTGCTTCAATAACTAAATAAACTTTCTCAAGGGTACCTTGGATGCTGGTACTAGCCTTTCTAGAAATATTTTGTAATGTTCTAGTGTCATCTACAAACAAAACTGGTTCTAACATCCAGCTTGTGGGAGAGTGAAAATTCTAAACGGTTATGGGGAGGACAACAGTCATGCAAAACATTGAAAGGAGTTTGTCTATTACAAATTATGAACCAAATCTGGAAGAAGATAATAGGACAACAGTCAAATAGGATTAATATCCATTACTCTAACTGAAAATGTGATTATGGAATCCTGCATGTGGGTGAATAGCTATCTTTAACAGCCATTTATTTTGAAAATTCTGCTTCCTCTCTCGGTGGCATAAAGACAAATCTGTTGCTATTTCAAAATTGTAAAATTTATGTCATGCTTCTATTTTTTCATTAGTTACTCTCACAACTAAAATAATGTTATGTACATTATTGTGTTCACGGTTTACCTTTTTTCACTTATTGCTGGTTCCAACGTTCATCCTTGGCTTTTGAAACCTTTATTTAAATATGACTATATCCTCTCTTTGAAATAAGAAAAATTAGCTCCTCTTGTTTATTTTTTCAACACTCTCATAAGATATTAGCCTGCAAGTAAATGCTTCTCATCAGGTTGGTGCTTCGATTTGCAACAACTTCCAATTTTTTGTCCAGTTATTATATTTTTCATTAATTTTCTTTTAAAAAATTTTCTTTGTATTTGATCTCCATTTTTTTGCTTATTATTTTATTGCATTCATATTTAAGTACTTTCGATGTCAGGTGAATACATATACATGCTTGCTTGTACTATTTAGTGTTTAATTTCATGTTTTTATGTTCATCTATAATTTCGTTCATGTCACCATACTCGTTTTGCTCAAACTTCGCTTCAATTTATTTTTTTGCACGTAACAAACTCATCACGTCAATCATAAATAATTGTGACACTTTTGATTTCAAATTGATTTTGAAGGTGGCCTTGTTGCATTGTGTTATGTCTGACAAGGAATATGATGTAATAATTAATTGTTTGTACTCAAACTTATCGCAAGCCCTCCAAGTTTTTGTAGCAATGTTGTTGGAGCAAAGGAATCTATGCGCATGCTTGTAGACAAGGTCAATCTTAATGGTCAGAACATACTTTCACGATCTATTTTCATCATTACTGTTGAGATTCATTATGCTTTGCTTGAGCTTTGCAATGGTCTTGATATGGAATCTCCATTGGCTCAAATCTCTGTAAGTGTGACTATTGTTTTTTAAAATCTTTTCGAGTATCTTCATCAGCATGTTGTGTTGTGTACTACCCCTATCTAAGTTAGTATTCTTAAGTTGTGACTGTTTAAACAATGTTTAAATCTTATCACTAATGGATTATGTGAAAAATTCTTTATTGACACGAAATTAGTCATTTCCAGCTTGAAGGCCTTTGGGTTTCTTATCGCTCTACATCTTTCTTTGAGATGGATCTTTATGTGACCATTCCTAAATTCTCTGTGCTGGATATACGCCCCGATACAAAGCCAGAAATGCGCTTGATGCTCGGTTCTTATACTGATGTTTCAAAGCCTAGTTATAACAATTCAAGTTTAGCTTCAAACTACATTACATCTCAAGAAAGCAAGCTCAAAAAGTTGGAAAACAAGGCTGACGTAGATGTTTCTAATTTAACCATGCTGATTTTTGACTACCGATGGCGTTCTTCCTTCCGGTCTTTTGTTATAAGGATTCAACAGCCACGGGTTCTTGTCGTTTTGGATTTTGTTCTTGCAGTTGCTGAGTTTTTTGTTCCTTCTTTGGGAACCATAACTGGCAGGGAGGAAACTCTGCATCCAAGCAAGGATCCTCTAACTTCGGCTGGTGATATAGTGCTTGTAGAACCACTGTATTTGCAGCATGAAGATGTTGTTCAACTTTCACCTAGAAGGCAGTTGATTGTGGATGGTTGTCAGTTCAATGAGTTTACATATGATGGTTGTGGAAATATATTAGCATTAAGTGATGATTTTGAATCAAAGGGACAACCACATTCAGGAACAATTATTATACTTGGGAGAGGCAAGAAATTGCGTTTCAAGAATGTAAAAATTGAGGTGCGTATTCTACCTGGAACCTAGTACTCTTTAAATTTGTATTTCAGATTGGAGAATGGAATCTCTTTAAATTAAGAGCTGCACTCTAGGACAATGATAAGAATCTAGGTTAACTTTATACTTTTTGATATTTAATAAAAGTTTGTAAAATGTGGTGTCAATCTTATTAATCGTTTAACAAGAATGCTTGGAGAAGATGGATTCATAAAAATGTCCAAGGTGATTTAAAAAGGCTGGTGATGGTCGGGAATTCGATATTTTTACTAAAATCTCATTTGCTTGTGGGTGGGCTGGGATTCTTGAGCATAATTTTGCATATATTTTACTCATTTTAAATTCATGTCACATAAAATTTTGAATTTCTTTACTTACAGTTTCAGGTTTGTTTTGACTGAATCTAACAAAACAAGCCATTGAATAGTTGAGTCTAGCTATGTCTCTAGGACAATGATAAGAAGCAAGGTTAACTTTAAACTTAATAATATTTAATAAAAGTTTGTGAAATATGGAGGCAATCTCATTAATCATCTAACAAGAATGAATAGAGAGGAAGGATTCATAAAAAATGTCCAAAATGATTTGGAAAGGCTACTGATGATCATGACTTAAAGATTTTTACTAAAATCTCGTTTTCTTGTGGGTGGGTTGGGATTCTTGAGCAACAAATTTTGCATATTCTTTTACTAAATCCAAATTCATGTTACATAAAATTTTTAAATTCATTAGTTGTTGTTGTTGTTATAGTGTTAGGAGTTATATTAGGAAATATTTTATTACTGTGAGAAGTTATGAGGAATAATTTATTTTTTTGGATTAGGAGTTATTTCTTTTCTTATTTTATATTTATTTTCTTGGATTGAATTTATATCATTTCCTATTTTATGTTGTTTCATTCATTTTCAAATAATTAATAAAAATTGAATAAATGATGATATTAGGTGATCTATTTTTCCTTTCATATTATTTTCTTTTTATTGTCTTTCTTATTCTAGGATTCATGTAAGGATTATTTATGCCCCCTTTCATATCTATAACATTTTGCACTTAATTTCACATTATACTGAATTTTAACATGTTATCAGAGCCAAATTCCCTACCCAAGTCACCGGTTCTTGGCATCCTCTGTACGGGAAGGGAGGAGTACTCGTCTTAATATTTGAAACAGCGATTTTTACTTCTTTTATCTTTTTGCAGGTTGGCCTGTCGGCTGGCCCTCCCGAGCCAGGAACTTTGAAGCTTTCGACCTCCCAACCCCCCGCTTGTTATGGTTTTTGTTCTCTACTGGGCTCTTTTTCTTCGTTACGTCATCTGGGATTTGTCTCCCAATTGCCGAGCAAAGAGGAAGTCATACCCAACGGTAAGCGAGGAATACCTTAAAAGCGGTCGATAAGTGTTAGAAGAAGCTCAGTGGTTTCATCGTCGATAAGAACTGTGCTCTGTTCATGCTTCGACTAGCTTGGCTTTCGATTGGGGCGTACAATGTCAAGACGAAGACGATGGGGCCTTTCCTAATGATAAGGCACCCGTATGAGCTTTCACATGGGGAGAACAATAGGCTTGACATCGCTTTAAGGTTGTTGGAGCCGATCAAAGAACAATTTTTAATCCTTACATATGTCGACTTCTACTAGCTTGCTAGAGTTATTGTTGTTGAGGTCACTGGTGGATCCGAGATTCCCTTCCATTCCGAAAGGGAGGACAAGCCTGAACCCCTTGAGGAAGGTCGTCTCCCTGATGCTACCAATGGTTATGATTACCTGAGGGATGTTTTGGTCACATGGGATTGAGTGATCAGGACATTGTTTCTCTTTATGGTGGACACGCATTGGGAAGATGCCATAAGGAGCACTCAATTTTTGAAGGGGCTTGGACAACTAATTCTTTTATCTTTGTGAACTCTTCACCAAGATTCTTAGTGCAGAGAAGGAAGGGCTCATCCAACTGCCATCTGACAAGTCCCTGTGCTGATTATGATGAGGCCCATCTAACGCTTTCAGAGCTTGAATTTGCTGAAGCTTGAATGTTCTGGATGAAGTATGTTTACTGCGAAGTTTTCTTGGATTCTGGATGATTTTTGTGTTTTCTTTTGCTAGAAGCGGCAGTATGTCATGTCATCTAAGCAATAACTATGGTTGGGTGGTCGTATCCAGTATCAGGCCCTCGCCTAGAGTTTTCTGCAGGAAGCCCTTATCCATAACTTTTCTCTTTATCAGTCCCTTCTCTGGAGCTTTTTCTTTTATCAGGCACTCCTCCGAAGCCTTTTTTTGCATCAGACCCTCCTTCGGACCTTTTTCTGCATCAGGACGCCAACTGGAACTTTTTCTTGCAGCAGACCCTCCTCTGAAGCCTTTCTTGCAGCATGTCATTCTTCGAAGCTTTTCCTGCAGCAGGCCCTCCTTCAGAGCTTTTTCCTTTTTTTTTTTTTTCTTTGCAGGCCATACCTGGTGTCTTCTTCTTGGAGTTTGTTTACTTCTCTGCAAACTATTTTGCAGTATTACCTGTATGAATCTTTCGTCTACCTACAAACACTGAAGTCAACTAGAAGTCAGTTTTTTTACATTTTTTCTACTTCCTTGCAAACTTCTCTATAAAAGCCTTTGCTTACCTGTAGCACTACATGAACTCTAGTCAAAGGCAACTGCATGTTGTCTACTTCTCAACAAACTTTCCTACAACATTACATGTAGGAGCTTTCTGTCTACCTGCAGATACTATAGGAACTGCAGTAAAAAAACAACTGTAGTATGAAATGAAGAATTCAAGTTCTACTTCATAGGTTCTCCCTCGCCTATTATTTGATGGTTTCAAATCCAAGTTGAATATGATTTTTAACCATGTTTCAATTTTAGTGGAAGTATTAAGAGTTATATTAGGAAAAAATTTATTCATGTGAGAAGTTATGAGAAATAAATTATTTTCTTTGATTCGGAGTTATTTCTTTTCCTATTTTATATTTATTTCCTTAGATTGGATTTATGGATTTATTTCTTTTCCTATTTTATGTTATGTTCTCTATTTTCAAATAATTAATATAAAATTTGGAGATATTATGTGATATCCCTACTTTCATATTATTTTCATTTTAATGTCTTCCTATTCTAGGATTGTTGTAAGGGTTATTTATATTCCCTCTCATATCAATGAAAAATCCTGCTTAGTTCTGCATTATTCTGAATTTCATCAATTAGTTTTAGTTTCAGGCTTATTTTGACTGAATCTAACAAAATAAGCAGTTGAATAGCTGAGTCGAGCTATATCTTTAAGTTGAACCGACATGTTTGACGGTGTTTTATATGTGTTTAAATTTGGGGTACTTTAGCCTTTTTGTTGTGTTATAGATGTACTGTATCAACCAACTCAGCTTGGGAGCTTGGATATAGTAAATTTTAATCGGAGGTGAATTGCTCGCCCATGCCTAATCCACCATGGGCAAAATATTTGGTAGCTTACAACCTTAGAAGTCATAAAATAGAAAATTTCTAACTCCATATACATATCCTAGATAGTTTGTCAGTTTATAGTAAAATATAACCAACAAATATCCAAAGCTTCAAAAATTGGAGGTGGATTCTTCTAACTTACCCAAAATATAACTCACAAAATAAACCTAAGGTTTCACCTCCAAGGTTACAACTCACACTACCAATAACCCAATATCCAAAATAATCAAAATAAATGACTAAACATAACCAACACGCTCACCATGCACTGGCCTCTATAACTCTTTAGGGGGACACAACCCACAGTAGTCTTAGCAACCTTTGTTCTTCTTGCCAACTAGTGAACATACTTGTTCCCTTCCCTATAAACACATCTCTAGATGATATTAAGATTAGCAATAACCTTAGATGCTTAGTCATAAAACAATGTTCCATGGTGCAGTCTTCTTCCCTTGAAGATACTCCAATAATTGTGCTGAGTCCACCTCTACCTGCAGCAAATGCCAATTACCACATCTAGCAAGTTTTACAGCTAGCCAGGCAACCCAAATTTTAGCCTCCGAAAGACTTTCAGCCAAACAGGGAGAAGCAAAAAAAAACACTAGCATCCTCCGTTACTTTTTCCTGAAACGTCCCCACACACCAGCAGTCTGTGTTGGTGGCAATCCATTGTGTCATTTCTTCTTTAACTTGTTTCTCTACAATGAAATGACATTTATATTTGTTGAACTCCAGACCAGACTGCACCTAGAAATCCTTCAATATTGCATAAAGTTTTTTAACAGCAATTTTCCTAGCATTAAAGAATATTATAGCATTATCTGCATAGGCTAAGTGACTCGCCAACAATTTAGCTTTATGGCATAAGCGGTAAATCCATCGACTACACCCACCATAATTAGGAGTTGTTTTCTTTTTTTATTATATTTTTGGGGTTTTTGTGTGGTTTATGTCTCTTTTTGAATAAGTTGTAATTCTAATCCCTGTGAGTGGGTTCTTCTAAAATCTTTGCATCCTCTCTTTTATATAAATGAATTTTCTCTTTTCATATATATATATATACATATATATATATATATATATATATATATTATTTTTATTTGAAAAAGCCCAAGGGAAATATATTAAAAAAGTGAAGGATACAAATAGGTTGTCAGAGTGGGCTTAGAAAGGTACCCTACCCACATGGTACAGCACACAAAAAAAAGATACATGTAATACCAAAAAAAAAAGTCAAAACCATCAAAATGAGCTTAGGGATGACTCAATTTAGTCCTGCCTCTACCTCTAGTTCTAGGAATGGAGCCAGCTAGCTAATTGATGAGTTGCGTATCATTACCCGAAGTAACGAATTTATCATCCATTAGATTTCTGAGCTCAAGTAGGTCACCATTCTTCTTATTCCTCCTGAATGTGTAAAACTGTCATTCCTCGTCCAAAGACCGGCTCATCTGATCAGTATGTTGGTCAACAGATTGTTGAGCCTGTATAAGTTGTTGAATCCCTTGCGTCTGACTAGCAGTAACGGCTTGCTCATTTAAATATGGTGGTAGAATTGCA